CCCCAAAACCCCAAAACCCCAAAACCCCAAAACCCCAAAACCCCTTATAATTTAAACGAAATTGAGAATTAAATTATTCTACATGCGAATGCTCTTTGATCATAAGGGTGCAGTTTGATAACCCTTCTTCCTCAAGTGTTTTGTTCATGTCCTCAAAGAACTTCTTTGGAAAGTTCTGGATAATAGAGAAATGAGTATGAGCAGCCTCAAATCCATTCTCATTCCCAAATGACGTGATATAATCGTAAAGTAATTGAACTTTATCAGTCTTATAGAATCTGCGAACCTGCTTATGGTTTCCATCAGGGAATCTAAATTGTATGGTGATAGTATCAGGTGTGCCTTCTGAAGGCTCTTCTGGCAGATTAGATCTGACTATTTCTGCCATTTCCTTCTTCTCCTCTTCTAGCTTTTCAATTTTTGCTTTTTTCTCAAGCTCTTCCTTCCGTTTCAAGTTATTTTCCTCTTGCTTATTTTTTTCTCTCTTCTATCAAAACTTTGTTCTTTTCATCGATTTCAGCATATTCTTGCCTCTGCTGATCCTTTAGGATCTTATCCTGAATCTGCTGAGGAGTCATTCCGACTGGGAATCCAGTTGTAGGGTCTATCTCTGGTCCTCTCCTTCTAGGAGGCTCTTCATTGTATCCATCGAATGTCCTGTCTCCCATCTGGGCACTAATTTCAGCTTTGAATTCCTCTGTCTCCAATAATTGTAGATTACTGTCTTCAATATGAAAAGTGAGATCGGTCGTGTCTCCATCAAATATGGCATTGAAAACCCCACTGGCTGCTTCATCCATCTCGGATAAAGCCATGACGTTGATTTCATCTCCGGACCTGGAGCCTATATTTTGAAGCGTCCCATTTTCATCAATATAGGTGATTCCGATAAATGGCGCTTTTGGAATTTCTAAAGCTGTTAGAAGCTTTCTGCCTTCTTCAGTATTTACGTTGACTCCTACACAGATGTACTTGTTTAGAAGCATCCTGGTCATTTCTTCTCCGATGACACTCTGGTCTACAATATTACAGGAATCTCCTTTGTCATTATGAAGGTAGAAGAACACTGGCCTCCTGAGCCTCTTAGATTCCTGACCGATTTCCTCAAAAGTATTGTTGACAAATTTCGGTAGAATCACATGCATTCCGTTCTTTTTCCTGAATTGAAATAAGAACTCTTGAGCTGCAGTCAGATTCCTGTTGCTGAAATTGGACTGTGTGTTCATGCCAGTGCCCATCATACCGCCTCCCATGACTCCTGAGAACATGCCACCTGTCAGATTTTGTAAATTACTTTGTATTGAGCTGGCAAAGTTAGAGAATTGGGATGTAATGTTGCCCAAGCCAGACCCTGGGGCATTACTCTCCTGAGGAACTGGAGATGGTTGATCCATCTGAGGAATTCCGATGTTTGGAATGTCAGGGATATCATCAAAAGCGCTTTCTTCAGCATCGGCGCCTGGACTCATATCTACATCTGCTCCACCTGGAAATGAAGTTGGAGCTGGTGTATTTGCAGGATTGCTCTGATTGAACTGATGAGTGTTCTGATATTGATCATAAGCCTGCGCAAGATCCCAGTTGTTACTGTCAAGGTATTGGAAAGCAATACCATCATCATCTCACTCGGCCATTGCCTTAAAGTTCTGAATAGATTCGTTTTTCTCGTCTTCCATTTTGTTAAATTATGATTAAAGTTCTTTACTTAAATATTATTGACGAAATTCTAAACTTGTGAATATCAACCAAAAACTTCAATTAATCAATCATTTTTAGGGGTTTTGGGGTTTTGGGGTTTTGGGGTTTTGGGG